ACACAACCTTCAAAGAAAAACGTGAAAGTGCCGTCGAAGATTCGCTGATACCCCAGCCTTCGACATGACGGAAACTTAAATTGATTGTGTGTATTTGCGGCCCAGACATCCAAGTTACAGTAAACCCCAACGAAAATGAAAGTGCAAGGGATGTTCAGGAACTACTGGGGGTTGAAAGTTGATAACGCCTTCCCCCAACCCGATTTCCTCTTTCAGTACGATCCCTTATTCATCCTTTATGCTCTTGCTGAGTTCCATGACGAATTCTCACAAAACGTTGCCGCCAAGTGCGCATGGAAAATGAACAGTCGAAAAAAATTTTTCCAGGTCAATGGCGATCCCTCCCTTAAAGGCGACCAGATGCAACGCCCGTTGAGTTTCTCAGCCTACGTCGCGCCCTGAAAACAGACTAAGCTTCAGATTCTAATGGGATTTTTGATGTATAAGCTGCTGCGACAAGGCATTCCTGTAGATGTCATGACGAACAAAAAAATAGTCATTGACTACAAGCAAGAAAAACTTTGAAGAGTGGACGAGAGTGTGTTCAAACGGTTGCTGTAGTGAAAGGAGGATGATATGTGGTGAGCAACTCGTCGCTTTTGGATCCAACAGCTCATAATTAGGCGTGACAATATGAAGGAGACGTCCAGATTTATGATTTTCGGCCACGCTCCACAACCGGCGAGACTAATTCGTCGTGTTCTATCCATGCAAGTGCTGCTTGACACTGCAGCCCGAACCTATGAAGTTATCATAGGAATGCTGCTTTATGGGAAAACCAGTCGGATATGGGAAAACCAGTCGGATCGCCCGGCTGACGCCGAGCTCTCCTCCTTCTCTTTAGCTCGGCTTCGCCGAGCTGGCCTGGCTTCGCCAGGCGCGCTCCATAATTTTAACGGAACTTTTTCAATAGTGGGCTGCTCATACGGCGCTGTAGTGATCGAATCGTAGCAGATAGAGCAAGGCTTGGGATCGTGCACTACTTAGCACACGCTTCTATTTGCAGCAGGGGTGTGGTCCGCGCCATAACGCCCATACAATACATAAATCTGTAGATATAGATACAATGTGTAGTCGGCCAATACAGCGCAGTATGAATCGCTCAGTGAAAGAGCAGTTTCCATTACCTGCACCGAAATGCCTACCGATGAACGTTTCCCTTTTCAATTAGCTCGCAATCCGCTCGCTGAAGTATAACTATTAGTAGGTACTATGAGC